GCATAAAGGCAACTTAATATATTGATATAAAACATATTTTTATATCACACGTAAACCAGAATAACAGTGATTTGTCTGAACTCACAGGGCAGATAGTAAAGGCGAAAGGATACAGTCATTATCGCATAATGTTTTGAACAGTCAGTCTCATGGATCGTCATGTTTGCTGCCCAGCGATTATCCACAAACATACACAACCCACCTCCAATGCTTTTCTCCGTGCGCTGTGTGTCTCTGTCAAAACGGAGTGTCGTATATCCCTCCAGGTCAGTGACGTCATCGTTCTCCGTAAGCCAGGACTCAGTGAAACATAGAAGCTTGGCTCTCCTGAAATTTCTGTCTTATTTCAAAAGTCCATATAACTGCTCCATCTTATTCCTTATTGAATGCACGTTGGAGAGCTTGATTTTTGGGAGTGGGAAGCGGCTGCCCCTCCTTTTAAGCTGGTTCCATATTCCTCCTCTGGATCCACACATTTTATATTTAGCTGTACCTGTGCCTGATTGATTTACTGACCGGGTTATTTCAGGGCAGCTGTGGAGAAGGGTCGGGGGGGAGAAGTGCTGATTTGTTGAAAAGTCAGCAGGTAATTCCGAGAGTAGGTAATCCACTGTTCCGTGTATCCAAACGGCCTGCTCTCAGCATTTAAAATGCCCCATATAGTCCAAAACACGAGCCAGACCAGTAATTTTGTTAACATATTTCTTGCCATGTTTGCCAAGCATAAACTGTTCTGCAGTATTATAAAAAAAATACAATAAAATACGATATAATAGATAAAAAAAAACTAACAAACAAGCCAGATGCCCAGGGTCAGCACTTGCGCATGCGCCCCTCCCTTTCGGTACAGCATGTTCGGTTTGGTCCACGTGTGTACCGTTTTGGTTATTTTTTCACTCATTAAATTTTATTAATGAGAGATTATGCTCCGCTGAACTAAAGTTCCTAAGCGTGTTTCAGCACTGTGCTTTTATCTTGCAGCACGCTAGCATTAGCAGCCTATCATGTCGTTGCGCTCTCCTGTTTGGGAACAATATGGCTTTCTTGTTAAAAGACAAGTGTAAATCCAAAGCTGTGTGTCGACGTTGTTTCACGGAGATTGGATCTGCAGCAGCAACACGTCTAACTTGTTAATGCACTTGAAACTACATCATCCGAATGTGAACGTCTCTTCTAGCAGCTTGTTGCAAAGAGCGATAACAGCAGCATTTAAACAACCTTTATCAGGTAATTCAGAATGGTCCAGAACAATAACACAAGATGTAGGAGATTTTAAAGCTCTGGATCTACGTCCAGATGTTGTTGATGCACGGACTTTAAAGTTATTGAGCCCCGCTACGACATCACGTCAACACTTCAACCAAAAAGTTGTAGCAGCACTTTATGAAAAGATAAAACTGATATTGTCAACAAGCCCTGGACCAGATTAAAGTCCTGATGATGATGATTTAACGAGAGATTCAACCACCTCATAACAGAAATGATGGCCATTCAAGAAGAGGTATTATTTTATTATTATTATTATTATCTAATTAACTTTTTTTAATTTAAAATTATATTCTTAACTCCAAAAAAGTTCAATCTGGTCCTCTGGACATTAAAAAAAAACCCAAAACAAAGCAAAAAATGGAGAAACGTTTTGTCTCTCAGCAGTCTCTGGTTGTCAGCAGCAAACTGC